CGTCAGTTTTGTCGCTACCCCAAAGGGTTGAATGAGCATTGAAATCCCCAACTAAAATAAATGGTTTTGGCAACTGTTCCACTAGATTTTCTAGGTTTTTGGTGGTGAAAAGGGTGTGAGGTGGGATATACAGTGAGCAGATGGTGATGGTTTTGTATGATAGGATGGTGACGGCTACGGCCTTGAAAGATGTGTTTATTTGGACATCTCGCGTAGGAGTGCTGCCCTGCACCACTATGACTACTCCTCCTGAAAGACGGTTGCAATGTTTCGCGGTCCTTTCGGGCAACTTTGAAGCCTTTTAGGAAGTGGCTGTGTTTTGCACCAAGATTTGTCTCTTGGAGGCAAAAGGCTACTGGTGAGAATTTGTTAATGATGTCCTTTATGTCACCTAAGTTATGAATTAAGCCTCTACAGTTCCATTGTACGATAAAAGCCATGGCAGAATAAAGTTAAGTAAATATACTTCTGGGAATTGATCGGTATAAAAGATGATAGGTGACAATATTAGGAAGTAGAAATAGAGAGAAATACGATAACCATTACGGTTATCACTTACTTATTGTGGTTACTGGGACTTTGTCCTTGTCCTGTTTGGTACGCTCGAGATAGCGCTTGTCCTTCGGTGTCGATGACACCGGAGTTTTGTGGTCGATCTCTATTGCCTTGTCTGAGGCGCTGGAAGATCGAGAGTGAGGCGCTGAGAAACGGATCTCAGGCCTTGGCACTCTATTGAGTTTAGGGCCCAGGGAGACCAGAGTCTGCGGGCCTTTTGATGTGCATGGAGCAGCTGGCGCTGCTTCTTTTACGGGGGCGGTTTGAGTCACCATAGAACTACTGCGTGTGGTAGCGGTCGACTCCTCAGGCCTTTGTGACGCTGCCCCCGACTGCGTCACATCGGCGTAACTTCTGTGAAAAAGGTATGATAGCCGTGTTCGCGCTTCGCTGAACGATATTTTTTCTTTGACGGTCAGAGCGATCGCTTCTTTTTCTTTTTTCCAACATGGGCATGACCGGGAATACGCTGGGTGTTCCCCGTCACAGTTAACACAATGGGGTGAGGATGAGCAGTTTTCTGATTTGTGGTCGTTTGCGCTGCATTTTGCGCATATTTCTTTGCCTCTGCAAGAGTTCGAGGCGCGTCCGAATCTCTGATATTTGAAACAGCGTCTGGGGTTGGGAATGTACGGTCTGACATTTATTTTTAAGTACCCAGCCTTAAGAGAGGTGGGCATTTCACAAGTTCCAAAGGTTAGTATTACGTGTTTGGTGGGCACTTCCTGATTATTGCGACGAATTCTTTGGACTTAAATGACGTTTTGGTCTTGGAAACCTTCGAGGAGCTCTTCGTCACTGAGTCCTAAGAAGTCTTCCTCAGAGATTACTCCCCTGCTGGTGTTTAGAGAGCGATGGACCGAAACGGTGTCAGCTGTTTCTCCAATGCTAGTTAGTTGGGATAGCTTAGGCACTTGGTCTTTTTCGGTTAGCTCCAAAAGGAGGTCACCGCTTGACATTTTAGATGCTTTGTATGTATGTGGGTCGTATTTTTTCTTTTAGGCACTTGGCCACCGAAAATGGGGATAATTTTCTTAGAGGTGTGCTGTCACTGTGGATAATGTGGTACTTCGCGAAAGTAACTTTAGTCTATTTCGAGACGTGATAACTTGCTTCGGTGCGGCCTCTCTTGCGAGACCGATCAAGGTCGGCGGATGCTTGTAAAGCCACACAAGTAGGAATGTGTTCAGTAACAGTGGCGACCACCCACCACGGAGCCTAACAAGGGGACGCGGTTGGACTTGTTGAAACAAGCCCTCCCGACGCCAGCCGTACACTGTCACTATAACCCAATGTAATTATCCAAGGTGGGATACCTACACAAGGTTAACCCTTGCCGCCATGAATATCGGAAGTAAACGGAAGAGAATAGAAGACAGGACAGATAAATAGTAAGAGGTGAAGACGAAGATGTAGGGAGAGAGAGATAGGAAAAGGCGACTGCCGATTTCCCCTGAGTGGGTCAGCCCAGGGGTGCCGTCTACGTGAAGCCGGGGCCAAAGGAATGTGTTGCCTCTGCCGGGGGGCCTTAACGGTCCAATCAGCCATGTATAAGTGAACAACACTCCAGGTGCACCACATCAATGAAACCACGCATAAATCGATGCATGCAATGTTTGAAAATGTGCCTCAAATGTCTTCCCCTGTTTAATGCTACCAGTTACCTTACATGTATTGAAGCTGCCCTGCTACTCAACTAATCAAATGTAATCGAGCACGGTACAGTGGTGAACGTAAGGGTGTTTTATACCTGGACGTAAAAGGTTGCCTTTCTTACAATACTCTTATTACAAGACATAGGAGCCACTTTTGTGCTTGCGGACGAATTGTGCAGACATAGAGAACAGCAGTAATCAAATAAAATTGTGATAGCATTTAGCTGGTTCTATGCACCGCAGCATTATTATAAAGCCGGAATGCGAGAACGTGCATACGCTTACGCTTAGATATGTGTCTACGTAAAATGAGGGAGACTCGTCGGGAGAGGTTTCAGTGCTAACACTTTTCACAAAACATGGTGCAATTATTCGTCCAGCGTTGTTTGAGTGAGAAAACAAAGCAAGGGACGTGTATACGAGTCTTAAAGTCGAGAGACGTTATCACACGTGCAAAACGGACGAAAAAAAAAGAGAGAGAGACTCTCGCTTCTTTTCCACGAAAGCTTGAAATCGGTAGATAATAAAGACAATTTTCTGGCCGAGCAGACGTCAGGAAAAGTTTCCGCAAACCAGCGTCGGATGCTTGGAGAGCATAAAAAAGTGGAGTACGCAATTTATGGGAGCGACAGCCACACAGAAAGCGAAATGAAGTGGGACTATTTTTAGATGTGAGAAAATCAATGCTAACTAGGAGAGTTGTGACTTAATGAGCCAAATCTTCCTTAAATAACGATGATGTAAACAAGCTGAGTATTCATCTAGTGAAAGTGACACTAGTGACAGTGAATTCATAATAGTTGATTAGCGTCGTCGCAGGCCGATATATATATATATATATATATATATATATATATATATATATATATATATATATATATATATATATATATTTATATATATATATATATTTATCTATATTTGGAAAACTATGAGAAGGTAGCGTGCGTTACAGCTCGCTATCCCAACATCTTGACAGTAATGTACAAGATAAATAGTGCACAGCTATACAGCCACACGTGGCGGTTTCTATCTTCTAGTAACCTTGGGCAAACGCATTAAAACTATTTTTTTCTGTTTTTGACCAAGTTTCATCGGACGTTTTTGAAATAGGCGTCATTCGAAGCATTGAAGATATATTAGCAACAGGATGAATGCAAGCACTGCTGCAGTCGACGAGTGATTACAGAGCTCAGCTACAGTCTACGAGGTTCTGGGTTTGATACGCAGTGTCACCGAGCACTTTTTTTAAAAGGTTGCTCGGCCCGAGAATATGCGTGGCAGCGGGTAATATTTTTTCGAGAAAGTGGCTTTCGCGCTTTCTTCTTTCACTCTTTCTTTTACCCAAAATCGCTGTGCCGTGCTCCTTCATAAATTACATAACTCAGGGTTCATACTTTTTCTCTTCATCCTTGCTTATCGCAAAAGTGCCCAGTGCTGAAATACCAGTATCATACCTGGAATGTTACTTTTCACGTGTTTGGATATTCGACCAGCAATCAGTCGTCACGCTGTTTTTAAGAAAATCTACACATGTAGCGAGCTAATTGCTTGCAGCCAAGTTGACTGCTATTGTCGGGAGACGTTTTCATGCTAACTTGGTGGGCATCATTACATGCAGCAAGGCCAAAGAGCACGGACTGTTAGAGAAGACACAAACAGAGTGATCAGTTTGTGTCTTTTTTTTTCCTCTATCCGTCATGCTGCACGCTTCAGTGTAATGTCGATATCAATGAATAAAATGAACTATAGCAGGTAATCGAGTTCTGCTGAGAGGGTCCCCTATTTTTCAGAAGCGAAAAGAACAATGGCAATTTGATTTGTGTCATAGAGGGATACTCTGCCTTTGGTAACTACAATAAATGTTTCAACCGAAGTTTATTTTTTATCAACCTCAGTTCCAGTACACATGAAAGGTGCATGGACAAACTTCGTGTATTCAGCTTGACTAGGTTTGTGACCTTAGCAGTAATTGCCAACCGGCATTGCAATATGCATAATATCACACACATACAACCACGGGTGATAGCTTGTTTACTGTGATTAAAATTGATATGTTGAAATCGACATATTCGACCAAAGCAATGTGTACAAGATATGCCATGTAGAGTCGCTATGCTCTTAACTAATTTTCGCTGGTTCGTTCCATTTTACTCAATTTCTTGCTCATGACTGTACGTTGGGAAATGAAACATTTTCTTCGAATGCACATATTTTGTGTAAGGTTACATTTATTTTTATGCAGTGAAAACAAATTTAAATCTACAGTGTTTGAGAAGAAAAAGAACTACAAATAAATTCAGCTAAATTATTACCAAACTTACTCATAAATGATAAACGAATTCTCATTTAAAAGATACATACATACATACATACATACATGCACACAAATACACACATACGCACATACCACAAATACATAAGACCACAAATGCATACATACATACATACATACATACATACATACATACATACATACATACATACATACATACATACATACATACATACATACATACATACATACACTGAGGTGTAAATATTAAGATGAATGGCTATAAAACAACAATTCCAATACACTCACTTTGAATATGCAGAAAGGAACTTACGAGAGAAATCCACCAGCACTGTTATGTCTGAACTCGGTGTTTCTCGAACCATCGCGGAAAAGCTTGATGCATAGTTTCTGTTGCTGCCAAGTGACATGCAGTTTTTATTAGAAACACAAGAATAAAGCCCTTGACAATGTCATGCTAAAGAAAAGGGCTGTGCATCAATATTTTGTACATGTCGGCAATAATACCCTGTTTATTTACATAGCTTGGCTCATTCACAACACAGTAACAAAGCACGTTAGAATACTTGGGCTGAAAAGCAGCACATCGCAAAAAAATCCAGACAATACATGACTAATACAATTCTAAGCTACTACGCTCCTTGATGCAAACAGTGTTTATATTGACAGCTATAGACCCTATTTCGTTCCCCGAAAACACTCCTCAAAAAAAACTTCAAATATTGCACATCAACACATTTCCCATACAGCTGTCTGTCAGTCTGCTTGAAAAAAATTCAGTTCACTGGTGGGCAAAGACTGTACACTTATAATGTGAGGTGATGCTCCAGTGCACTGCGTGTATGTTTTGCTTCTGGCCTTAAATTCGATGTTCCTCAATATATATGTGTAAAATAACAACTAATTCTATGCCGCTTCAAAGTAATTATGTGTCATATGCATGAAACAGGGACCACAATAAAAGAACATAACAACATTTACCTTCCCACAGTTCAAAAAATGTAAATAAATTTTCAAAGAGGATAGTAATAATATTTGTAAACACGTTGTTACTTTCAATAACCAACTATTTTAAGATGCCAGCTTCAATATTAGAGTAGACCAGTACCATTGCAGGGCTAAACAATTGTACAGGCACCTAGAAAAAGATAAGTAAATGCATGCTACAGCTACGTATGAATTAAAATATATACTTTCCTTTCTAGTGTGAGTAAAGCTATATAGATGATACGTCACTTGCATAGTACACAATTACATATGAACAAACCTATCCGAGCAAAGTATACATTAAAAAGCTCCACTTACACACTAGAAACATTAAAATAGACTGTTGAAGCACGGAGAAGGCAGAGAGATAACAATACACAAGCACTAAAATCTACTCTTAGGATATACTAGGAGTAGTAATGATCCTCTTCCTTTCAAATAATACAATCCACATAGATTTAGTTACCAGAGCTTATACACTCATGGCATCATTGGTGCTATACAAATAAGTGTACAGTGAAGGATTACAATCGACTAAGTACAAGATTACCGCATTCATGGCTTTACATCTTCTACTAGAAAGAATCCAAACACAGTTACCATTGCCAACCATGGGTGCTGTGATTTATGGCAGTTAAATGTAGAGACACATGGGCACTTTGATTAACACACATGTTAAAAACTTCAGCTCAAAATTATGTGTCCACTAACACAACAGCAGCCTTTAAATTAGTGATTGATTGATTGATTTGTGGGGTTTAACGTCCCAAAACCACAATTTGATTATGAGAGACGCCGTAGTGGAGGGCTCCGGAAATTTTGACCACCTGGGGTTCTTTAACGTGCACCCAAATCTGAGTACACGGGCCTACAACATTTCCGCCTCCATCGGAAATGCCTTTAAATTAGTGTCATAGTTTGGTATATTCCATGCAAAATTTAAGTAATTTAGAATGCAAGCAAAGGAACTGCCGAATAATGCGCTGCTAAGAAGTTACGCTGCAGCTGCTCAGAATGTTACTGCACATACAATTCAAACTGCTCCTGGCATTAGAATGTGCTCTTTCTACTGTCGTAAACTTTGAGCAGGAGAACAGTCACTGAAAGTTCCTTTCTACTTGTTGATCTTTTGTGCTCTGTTCTTGATACACTGTACATGACTGTGAAGCACCAGATTCCTTGTTACTGCTGGAATGTAAGAAAATTCAGATCATTGTTACAACCATGCTACATGCAAGAGTGTACAGTTGTTAAATATGGGCTCATATTTAGAGATGTCATATTTTCAGAAGCCCATGACAAGCCTCCACACGCGCACACACAGAGAAGACTGAAAATATATTTTATTATGATACAAGAGCAAAACTACAATGTTATAGATGAAGGCATGAAACTTATGCCAAGCATAATAAGCCATCAAAGTTTCTTCTGTTTTGACTTGAAACTAGGTGCGAGAAGTAGACCACAAATAAGTTTACTAAGAAACAGAAGTTAGACTGCATTACAACACAACAGCCAATGTTCATAACTTTAAGGCTGTCTAACAAAGCCAGCTCACCATACTGCATATAGGAGCAAATGGGCGGTCTAGAAGACACAAAGCACTTGTGGATTATCAGTGTGCTTGTTGCTGACATCTATTATTCCAAACGAAAGAAAAGCTTTCAAAAATTGTCTTCATCAGGGAAAATAATATGCAACAAACACAATGGGCTCCTACAGGTGCCACCAACACTCAACATTATTGTTGATACCAGTGTCTTGCAAGATGGATATGCTGTGTCCTGCACAGAACACCAAAAGAGCGCTCCAAGACTTGGCTTGCATGTGTGCTGGCAGCATCGCACTTCTGCTGAAGTAGGATAGACACAGACAAATGAGAAGCCATGGCTTTGAAACACACTGAACGTCACCTTTAGAGATCAACAATGCATACTTAGGTCAGGTACAATTTGTAGAAAAAAATACATCACTATGCAATCGTGTTGAACACGTTCGGCTGAAACACAACAAGCCACAGCACTGAGAGAAATAAGCTACATGAAGTAAAAGATGCAGTTACTGGCCCTTTGTTGTCTGAGGCTTGTTCAATAGGTCTTTCTCGTCTCAAGTTGTGAACAGCCAGGCGATTTTCACCCACTTGCTATTTCTTTCCAGAGCACTTGATCTACAGAGTGAGTCACAAGCTCGAGAGCTCAATAAGGAATCAAAGTATTTGTGCTCGTTTGAAAGCACAAGCTTTTGAGTCTCAGATGATTGAAGTTTCATTCATAAGCTGTAGGCTTTCAACTTTCAACATTCTCAATTATCTTGCTATTTAGTTCTATAAATGTTGAATAAAAATTATGTGTGAGAATAATACAGGTATCCACTGCAAGCAACCATGCTTGCGTTTTCAATTTGTGCAAAGTATGTGGTGTTCACTTAATCGTATGTATTAAAGAAACACTAACCTTGCAGCCAGCGATTAGGCAGTTTTGTGCCCTCGAAGCTCCCAAGCAGATCGCAGTCCTTCCAGATGAGGCTGCCATGCATGCTTCCAGGCCACATCCAGGTCCGCTGAATGATAGCAGTCCCAGCAGTGACATAGACTTGCACAGTTAGGGAGCACGCGTCCTTCCTACTTTTGTACAGGTGCTCCAAGTAATGATGAGGATGGATGTGCGAGTGTGTGCGACCGATGCATCACAGGACCTTAACAAGCCAGTGTCTGCGATCTGCTAAGAGCCAAAAATGAAATATTTGAAACAATCATTGAGAGCACTCACTTCTAATACTTCTTTGACGAATCTATCACTTCGTCAAAGTGACCAAAATCTGCTATAATCACTTTCTAATAAATTGATGCTTCATGTAAAATGTACGTACTGAAATATAAAGTCCAAGTGAAGTATGGTGCTACCACAGCGGTAATCGTCTATAGAACTAATTTTCCAAAGTAACATATATTCCTTAAGTGCAACCTGGCTCCTTGAAAATAAATGTACATTAATTTCCAACTATCAAACGTGGTAAATTGACAGGCCCAATCTCATAATCAAACAAAGCTCACTTGTACGAAATCACTCAAAACTTCTGAAGCATTTCCTCTATAATATATGTCTGTATATAATAGTAGTAGTAAATTTTTCATGCTTGAACTTACCATACATTACATCTGATGGGCTTAAAAACTTGCACACGATATAGTACTGCGTGAATAGCAACAAATTTAGTTCTGCTAGGTCAACTCACCGATGGCAGCATTTAGTAGCCATCGGTGACATGAGAAATAGAGTGTGCTCTACGGATAACAGGCAAAGGTCACCTGCAGACTGGAAGCTGCCGATGACAGCAATGAAAGGCTGGCCAGGCGTGCATGTTCATTGATATAGTGTAAGAACTGGCCAGGACCGGCTGTTGCCAAGGCTCTAGTGCCGTGCAAAACTATGGTCAGACGAACTCGTAAACCTGTAGTTAGCCGGTATTGGCCTATACCTTCATTCAAAGCAAGGCACCGGTGAAATCTTTGCTTTTTCTTGGGGCCGGAGGCAAGCTTGACGTTGACGAGCTCTCGCTGCGACATAGAACTCTCAAGTTCTTACCGAAGAACAGTCTAGGGGCGCTGCCAAAGTAACACGATCTATACCAGAATGTAGCATCTCGCCGTTTTGGTTCATCACATCACAGCGCTAGGACTATAGTTATCACAAAAAGGAGAAGTGACGAGTTAACAAACAAAAGCGCCATGCTCCACCACCGCATCTTCGCAGGGCGAAACAGTTATCAACGCTGTTTCTCAATTTTTGGTCACACTTGCACAGCTTCTTCACAAGTCTTGGAACGTCAACACAGCACCACTGTTCTCAACGAACATCGTTCCACTTCCGAACACTAGATTGCTCACAATGAAATAGAAGTGTACAGGCTAACCAGTAGCGAAGCAAGAAGCGAACACAGACCGTAGTTCATACGCTTCCGTACGTACTTGGGGTAACTGAAATAACGTGTCAAAACGCTGTCAATCCAAAATGTCGCACAGCACCCAACAAAGAGACTGGAAAGTCAAGCAAACGGACTGTTACCGGCACACAAACACACATTGCAGGCTTCTCGAGTGCTAGTTGCCGTCGATACACCGGCACCGATCTCCGCTTGATAAACACACCGACGCAGAGTCTTCGCTGCACTTCACCGTACACCATTGCACAGCCGCAGCTTTCCGCACTGCTTACACGCACCGAAAGAGCTGCCATAATCACAACGCAACTGGTCGAACGCTGAAGTAACTCATGTGAAAAGCCTTTGCTAAAATTCGCACCGACCGATATGTCGTTTACGACGCCATGTTGTTTTTGACAACTGCGCAGCATGTAAGAGAGCTCTTAGAAAGTACTTGCGCAATTTTCACGGCCTGAGAAAATTTGCTCTTATGTGCGAGGGTGGTGATACGACGAACACGACAGGCGTGCCCGATAAAAGAAGTGTTTTGGCAGGGACACGAGTAAGCTGATGTAGAGGATAAGGCTTCACAACCAATCACAAGCTGTGCCTGTTGGCCAAGCCGTCGTCTGCTCGCGTTTGTCGTTCTTTTCGATCAGAGCATGCGACGGGGGATTCGCCTTCGCAACGCAATTATTCCCAGGTCAAGTTGTTGCTGCGTCACATAAAATAGATGTCAGTGGCTCGCTCTACTTTTGAATGATGTTCGTGTGCCAACGTAAACAGCTGGTAATTGTCGCAGGGACAAATTCTGCCAAGGTTTGCTCCTGAATCTTGAGGGTTTGCGTATTTCCGGTGTCATATAAAGTTACTAGGGTCATTTTATTCCGACTGCTTGCTATACTATCACGGTCTATATTGGTTTCTGAACAGTGAAGGTGAAAATGCTTGATTTGTTTGTAGTTCCATGCGTAATCACGCACACCGCTAATACGTTTCGGTTTACAAAGTAGGCTTCGTTCCAGATTGTCCCAACGTTTATTGACAGCTGTAATTCATAGACTGCACCCATTTGACAGTTAGAGCCAATGGAAGTACTCTAAAGCACAAGCTTTATGAAAAACTCACTAAATAGTTCCTCTCATTTTTTGTTTCCAATAGCGTGCAAGGAATGTGCTTCCATTAACCTCTTTGGTGGTTAATCCTTGCCTTCTTTGGTGGTTAATCCTTGCCTCCACCAATGAGGCAAGGATCTCGAGTCGTACTTTCAAATGATTGAGATGGGGTGCAACAGAACAACATAACATATAAGGCTGATCCTATGCCGTGCCATGTTCGAATGCACCAACCATTCACGTAGCACAATGGTTTTCATCCAACCAGAAATTTTACATGCATAATTTTACGCCATTGACACCCAATAGAATTCTACAACTACTGTGACTTCAAACTTATTGGACGACGGTGGTTGTCAACACCATCCACTGCATACAAGGGAAAGAACAGAAGAAACTCAAAGCGCAGAAAGAAATAAAAATGGACTAGCAGTCATCAGGCAGCCCTTCATGGGCATAAAATAACTCAAAACCAGCCAGGGCACCAAAGTATACCGCCTCGGCGGCAGGTTCTAAGTAGCCACATTGTTCCTAAGAGTGGCCCGGACCACTCTTAGCATTAGCATTTTCTCTCAGCCACGCTGTTTTTACGCAAACTTTTGCTTCATGAATCCACTTACAAGCACTTTTCGGTAACGTAAACAAATAGAGCACCTGCATCACCATCGCTGGCATGTTCCCGGGCAGGCGCTTTATTGGAGCGGCCAATGTGACAACGATGGCCTCTTACCACGTTTTTTTTTTCGTTTCGTGAATCGACTTATGCAACAAAATTTCTCTTGCGCAAATATGTTTTCGTAAGTGAGTTTCGTGAATCCGGCCCCTGCTTAACGTCGTAGTAGGCGTCGTCTCATAATATATATATATATATATATATATATATATATATATATATATATATATATATATATATATATATATATATATATATATATATATATATATATATATGGTGTGTATTTTCTAAGACGGCGTTCAGGACCCTCAAGACTATTCTTCATTGCCTTGAGTATGTGCCCCACAAGCCAAGCTGGAGTGGTTATGATGACTATCTACAGATGAGAAGATGGGACGCATAAATAATGCTCAGACCTATTTACCAAGAGCACATGAGTAACCGGCCGACCGAGAATTAGGCGGGAAAGATACGGCGAACAAAAGATTTTAGACGTGAAACGTGAACTATCACGGAGGCACGGTAATGACGGTCTGAGTGAACCCTCGACGGGAGTGACAAGGTAATTCACAAGAAACGTTCGTTCACAAACTACGTAAGGTCCTGAGAGAGCGTGACTGAAACTTTTCAGACGATCTGGGTGTACGAACAGGCCTCCCAAGTAGTACTTCATCTCCACGACGGAAGGTGATGTCTCGACGAAAGCAGTCATCGCGTTGCTAGCGGTCTTGTTGACTGGACTCCGTGTTGAGTCGCGCACGTTGTAGTGTGTCAGTGAGCCTGGAGAGGAAATGTTCTGGTGTAGTTGTGGACGTTATTGACCTTACATTGAAGGAAGAGGTGTCGATGGTGAATGTCGGCGCACGACCGTAGACAAAGAAGGAAGGTTAATACCCGGGGGTTCATTGAACAGCGGTGTTGTGTTCAGACGTTACGAACGGCAAGATTTTGTCTCAGTTATCATGGTTCGGTCCGATGTACATAGATATCATGTCGGTTAAAGTCCGGTTGAATCAATCTGTCATACCATTTGTCTGTGGGTGGTGAGCGGATGTGGTCTTATAAACTGTGCCACAAGTTTATTGAATTTCGTCAAGAATTGTGGATGAGAAGGCTTGCCTCGGTCACTCAACAACACGCGAAGTGCACCATGACACAACACAATGACTTCTAAAAAGAGAGCGGCAGCGTCTGAGGCAGAACTAGTGCGTAGAAGAGAGGTATCCGGGTATCGTGTGAGGTGGTCGACAGCGGTGATGATCCAACGGTGGTCCGCTGGCGTTACGGGGGTGGTCCGACGAGGTCTATTCCAAAAACGACAAAAGGTGCTATCGGGACATCAAATGGGATGTAATAGGCTAGCAGAAGCTGAAGTTGGTCAGATTTGGGTGCACGTTAAAGAACCCCAGGTGGTCAAAATTTGCGGAGCCCTCCACTTACGGCGTCTCTCATAATCATATCGTGGTTTTGGGACGTTAAACCCCACAAATCATCATAAGCTGAAGTTGGTCGTTTCCGGCGTTGAAAAATTGCGTAAGAAGCGACATAATGAGCCACAAAGGTAGAAAGACCAGGCCAGAAGAAGCGGCTCCTAACCCGGTTGTAGGTCTTCCGAAATTATAAGTGTCATGCTGATGGGTCATCGTGCAATGCTTCGAGGACTTGTTTTTCGCAGTGAACGTGGAAGTACTGGCACCCACCGATGCCAACCCGCCATGTAAGTGTAGCGCTGCAGCACACTGTTTTCTAGCTTGAACTGCTATAGCTGACGACGTAGTCTGGCATTCGGTGGGGAAGGCGAGCCATTAAAGTACCCGATCATGCAATTACAGTAAGGGTCGTCACGTTGGTACATGGCAAACTGAGCGCTGCTGTTTAAAGATAGTGACTTAGCAACTGCCAAGTGTGGTAATGTGAGTGCACGAAGAGGAAGCCGCTTGATCACCTGAGGGACATTGAGGATGCTTGGTTGGAGATGAAAGTGGCATAGGGCAGCGAGAGAGAGCGT